ACCTGAAGCATCACAGGTGGCAAAACAGTGTGTAAAGTGCCAGATTTGGAATCAGGAAGACCGGGTTCAAATCTAACCTCAGACACTTACTGTGTGACTCTGGGCAAGTCATTTAACCTCTCTGTGTCTCAGTTTCCTTATCTGCAAAATAGGGATAATAATAGCACCTATCTCCCAGGGTTGTGTGAGGATCAAATGAGAAAACACATCAATGTTATCTTCATAACATCTTTCACATATGCCACCTTTTTTCCTCTGACACCGTCACCACCCTGATGCAGGTCTTTATCTCTTCATACCTGGACTATTGCAATAACCTGCTGGTTGATCTGCCTGCCTCAAGTATTTCTCTCCCCACTCCAGTCTATCCACCACTTAGCTGCCAAAGTGATCTTCTTAAGGAGCAGTTCTAACCCTATCACACCCATATTTAATAAACTCCAGTAGCCTTTTATCACCTCTAAGATCAAGTATAATTCTGTTTGGCATTCAAAGCCCTTCATAACCCATCCTGTATATACACACACACACCCCACCTTTCAGTCTTCTTACATTTATACCACTTTCCTATCCTCTCCCTCTGCCCCTCCTGTATTCTTTGATCCAGTAACATTAACCTTGTTGTTTTCCTCAACCATCATGATTTTCAATAGCTGAACAATCTCCTTCCCATTTCCACCTACTGGCTTCTTTCAGGTCCCACCTAAAATAGGACCTTCGAAGGAAGCCTTGTCTGATTTCTCTTAATTCTAGTGCCTTCCCTGGGGAGATTATTTCCAATTTATCCTATATATAGCTTTTTTGTACATAGGTGTTTGCACGTTCTCTCTCCTCCATTCAACTATAAGCTCCTTGAAAAGAGACTTTTATATTTCTTTGTTTCCCCAGAATTTAGCACCGTACGTACCATACACTAAGTACTTAATAAAAGTTGACTGATCAATATACGAGAAGTGTTTTGCAAATCTCAAAACACGACATAAATGCTAGCTATTATTATTGCTAGGTAGCAGAATGATTAGTGCTTGGCTTAGAGTCAGGAAGACCCGAGTTTAACCCAGCCTCAGACACTGACTAGATGTATAACCCTGAGCAAGTCACTGTCAGACTGTTTCCTCACCTGTGAAATGGGGAAAACAACAGCACCTACTCCTCAGAGTTGTTGTGAAGATAACCTGAGATAACATTTGTAAAGTACCCTGCAAACCTTAAAATGCCATATAAATGCTAGTTATTTTACTATTATTATTACAGAGCACTTTACATGTATTATTTCAATTGGTAACAATCTTTGCATTACCTACTTCACATGGGTTGTTGGAAAGAAAATATTCTCTAAACCAGAGGGAGCTTGGTATATGTGAGCTATTACTTCAATTAAACAAATTCAACATTTATTAAGCCACTGCCACCTTTGCACATGCCCTTCCCCCAGTTGAATCTTACAGGGTCCAGTTTGAGCTTCCTCTTCCAGGAAGCCTTCTCTGACTACTCCAACACATAGTGATCTTCTTCTTCTCTGAACCCTAGATTTACCGAATATTGCCCTTTTCCTAACACTTGACTGTGTTATATACAATGACCTGTACTGTTCACGACTAGTAAAGACTCCCATTTTTATAATGCTATAATGTTTATAAATTGCTTTCTTCATGTAACCTTGTAAAAATAGTACTAGTATTATCTCCATTTTACAGATAAGAAAATTGAGGCTAATAGAGATGAAAAGACTCATTTATGATCACACATCTAGTAAGTGACTTGTGTAAGTTTTCTGTGTTGTCTCAGACCTGATGTAAACCCTCTAACTTTAAATTTTTTTTAAAGGATTTAGTTCAAGGGTTAATCTGGGGTCTATGAACACTTAAAAAAATTTTTTTTGATAACTGTATTACATTCAAAAATATTTTTTTCTGAGGAGTCAGGCTCCAACAGATTGCCAGAAGAGAACAGGACACAAAAAGGGTTAAGAATCCCTATTTTAGTCTAACTCTTTCATTTTACAGAGAAGAAAAATGAGGCCTAGAGAGGTCTGTTGAAATGAATAAAGCAAGTTGCCCAAAGTCACCCAGCAAGTAGCTTTGTATAACAGAACCTGCATTTCAAATGAGGTCCTCTCACTATGAGGCTCTGTCTCCACTGCCATGCTGCCTCTCATCAGAGTAGCTCATGACTGGTAAGAACAGAGAACATCCAACTTGCTCCACTGCCTGGTTTGAGTACCATCCCCTACCCCTATCCATTTTTACTGTGCTGTTCAATCACTTTTCAGTTATGTCAGACTCTCTGTGACCCTATTTGGGGTTTTCTTGGCAAAGATACTAGAGTGGTTTGCCATTTCCCTCTCCAGCTCGTTTTACAGATGAGGAAACTGAGGCAAACAGGGTTAAGTGACTTGCCCGGGGTTACACGGCTAGTAAGTATCTGAGATCAGATTTGAACTGAGGAAGATGAGTCTTCCTGACTCCAGGCCTGGCACTCCATTCACTGTGCCCCTTTGCTCCCTAGCAGCAAATCTCCTAAAGAGTAGATTAGTAGAAGAAAAATAAGGCACCAGAATAAGAATAGGATTCACAAAATGAATAAGCAGCACTTGAACAACAGAGTTGACTGTCTAAGGGATCCAGAAGAGAGTGAAGGAATATTTCAGTAAATTTATTTTCTAGTAAACACGTGATCTCTGATCCTAAATATTTTCTCTGTGATGTTAAACTAAAGAGGCACAGTTTCAGCTGCAACCTCTGGTCAAACTTGACCAGCCCAAGGATTCAATTAGCCCTATCATTAGCTTCCCTGATTCCATTTTGAAAGACAGCAGCAAGCCAAATAATTTCTTCCCTTTATTACCTGATCTGCCTTAGTATTACATTACAGAAGCACAGATTTGGAAAGGATCTCAAGAGCTTATTTCTTCCAACCCTCACATCAGAACATAGAATATACACCAAAGACTTAGAGAGCATCTAATCCAATCAACTTTACAAGTGAGGAAACTGAGACCCAGAGGGGGAAATTATGGATGAGTGAATGACAAATATCACTTTCTTCCCCAAATCATGTCAGCCCTAAGGTCCCTATAGTTGAGGTTTCTATCTGTGGGTTTATGTGGGGGAGGCTATTGTTTTTCATGTTACCAATATCAAAAGGTTCAGATATGTCTTCAAATATTCAGGATCAAGCACAGCTCAGTGAAAGACAGAATGGTGTTTAGTGAATCCCAGCCCTCATTTCCTAGCTGGGTTGCCTGGGTACAAATTATTCAACTCTGACAACCAGTCTTCCTATATGCACACAAAGAGACAAGAGAAGCCACCTATTGCAGCAACATCCTCAATAAAGTCATCTAGCTTCCCAGTGATGGGAGCTCACCACCTACTGAGATATGTCACATTCCACTATTAGCACCTCATTGTTAAGAAATTTCTGGGGCAGCTAGGTGAGGCAGTGGATAGAGCACCAGCCCTGTATTCAGGAGGACCTGAGTTCAAATCCGGCCTCAGACACATAACACTTACTAGCTGTGTGACCCTGGGCAAGTCACTTAACCCCATTGCCTAATCAAAAAAGAAAGAAAGAAAAAAGAAAAAAGACATTTCTTCTGTTCCATAATCTCATTTCTAGAAATCACAGGGATTCTAGATTCCCCAGGAGAGTAGGAAAGGAGGCCCATGTCGCCAAACACCCCACTTTGTTCAATGACTCCCTGACTGAATCTACGGGATTTAACCTTCACCAGTATAGGGGATTAGTAAAGAAAGCACATCATCTTCCCCACCCCCAAGGCCAACCCAGCCAAGAGGGGCCTAGGACCCCTTCTGTGCATAGTATTAGCTTCCACCTGGGGGAGGGGTGAGATGGCAGACCAACACCATAGGTGGAGGGAAAGGAAATGGAGGGTGAACTGAGGATTTGTTTCTTAAGGACTAAAAAAACCTGCTCCTTCCTCAACCTTCCTCACACCCTTTCTTCTGCCCTTCAGCCTAGAAAAAGAGAGAGTAAATAGAAAGCCAAGTCCATTCATAACCACTTTTTCCTTCTCCTTTTCAGGGATTTCACACACCCTGGGAGCCTAAGAAGGACTATACACCTCACCACCATCTTCACCTCTAAATGCCCCAAACAGAACCTTCTTAGATCTTCCACCCAACCAAGGCTACCAAATTCTTATCAACACTAGAGCAAGCATTTCCTTCCTCAACTGCTCATTCACAAAGCTAATTGTTCCCTCTTCCACAGCTTTTCCTTATGTAGCTACTTCTACCATACTACAAAACCTGAGGATCCTGTTCCTCTCATTTTATTCCCCAACCCTCCCCCCCAAATCATAACAATACCTGAGGGTTATTTCCTCACTTGGACCACACTACCCTGCCCCATTATAACGTCTGAGATGGGGCTCCCCTCAACATACCTCCCAGACATTCCCAATCAATACCTCTCAGGGCGCCCCCTTCACCTCCAAGAGGAACGCCTCACCTCCCACCAGCCACTATTATTTCTCTGAACCCCCATAACAGATCTCTCACGCGTCTCCTCATCCCCATTTTAACACCCTCCCCCCAAATCCCTTCAACAATCTTTATCATGAGATCTGAGGCCTTCCCCCAACTCTATTTTAGCATGAGAGGAGCTCCCCTCACCTCAGCTTCCTGACACCCCAAACTGTAAGATCTGAGGGGCCTCTCCTCACCAGATTTTAAGACTGGGAGGGGTTCCCCTCACCTCATCCCCTGAGCTCTCAAGGCACCCGCTTTTGGCACCTGAGAGGGCCTCCCCCTCACCTCACTGCCCTGACACCCCTTATCCCGAGCTCTCCCAGAAGGCCCCCCTCAGTCCCTTTTGGCACCTGAGAGGGGTTCCCCCGGACCCTAAGCTCCTAAACTCCCTGAGGAGATTCTCCTCCTTGCTGGTGATGGGGAGGGGGTCCTCTCGCTACGACCCCCCCCCTCTAACGGCATCCCAAGGCGGGGTTCCCCATGTGCCTCCCGCCCGGCCCTCACCTCGCAGGACCCCAGAATAGGCGGCGATGAGGGTCTTCATGGCCGCTCAGTGGCCCGCGGGAAGCAGCCGCCTCCTCCACGCGCGCCCCAGCTCCATCCCTCGGCCCGCGGGGCCAGGGCTTCCCCCAGAAGGGGACGGGGTAAGGGGCCGAGCACCGCCTGCCCTGCGGGACGGCAGAGGTGGACGAGGCGGCCGAGATGGAGAAGGAGGAGGCGGCGGCGGCGGCGGCAGGAAGAAGAAGAGGAGGGCGCGACAACCCGCGGTGGTGGCAGCACCGGCACCGGCGACAGGGACGTGCAGGGGGCGTCCCAAACGCCGCGTGCGCTCTCTCCAGAGCCGGCTCGCTCTGCGGCCGCCCGCCACAGCACTGCCTCGGTTTATTAACCTCACAGAAGGGTCACGCCCACCTCCGCGGGGGGTGGGGCTGGGTGCGCGAGACAGCCCGCCTTCTCGCTCCAAGACTCCACCCCGGAGCATACCAAAGCTGCCTGTGGGGGGCCTCACACCGACTTTCATCATTTCCTCTTTTGAGCAGTGTGTATGCAAACATTTGGGGAACTAGCAAGAAGGAACTCATCACACTTCTTCCTGTTATCCGAAGTGGGAGAACTTTCTGTTTTGGGCTCCTTCTCTACCCACAACCTTTCCAAAAATATTCCCCCCTTCCTCTTCCAGATGGACCAGTTGTTATGGCCCGGCTGGTGGTGGTGGAGGGGGAGGAGGTCTAGAACGTGGAATGGGGAAAGAGACCACATGCCAGGGCACTTAGAAGAACGAAGGTGGTTGTGCAGTGATAAAGGGATAGGCTTCTGAGCAGATGGAGAGCTTAGCTCTGCTCTAACGCCCCAGTTTTTCAGAACAGGAAATTCAGATCCAGGAATATAGCATGAGTTCCCCGACTTCGTAAAAGTAGCATAGTTGGAATTTGAATTTTCTCCTCACCTTTAAAAAATTTATATATTTTTTAATCCCAACAAGCTTCCCCCATCCCCAATCTCATCTATTCTCTTGGAAAGAATATGTAAATCCTTGTAATAAATGTGAATTGTCAAGCAAAATACATTCTCACATGATTCCATATCTAAAAATGAAAGAAATTGTTTCAAAGAAACCTCAGAAGACTTGTATATACCAGTGAAGAGTGATGTAAGCAAAAATGCTAAACTTAGGTCCTCTCAGAGCAAATGCCCCAGCTCTTCCTAAAACACTTTGTGGATTACTGGGGGTGATGGTGGTGGTGGTGGTGGTAATAGACTGGTTTTGTGTCATTTGTTAAAATTTTCTGAGTTTGTGTCAACCTGCTAGACTGGGAGTTCCCAGAGGGCAAGAATTGTGTCTTATTTGAACTTTGTCCTTCTCCAAAAGCCAAGCACAGACCTTTTCACAAATAGGTCTGAATGAATATTTGCTAACCACAACTAGGTCCTGATTAGTGAATAATGAATGCTTTGAAGTGGTCTAAATTATTCAAATTTGTACTGCGAATTTCCATTGGGCTGAAACTAATCACCATATTTTATATAATTATAGCTTCTTTAATTTCAAAAAGGACCACTCCAGAGGATTTGTTATGAATACTAATCCAGACTGAACTGTAGTTATATAGTCTCTCTCATTTTACCAGATGAAGAAATTCATCCCTATATAAAGTAGCTAACATTTATATAGTGCCTACTGTGTGCCGGGCACTTCACAAATATTATCTCATTTGATCCTCACAAAAATCATGGGAGGTAGACACTATTATTACTCCCATTTTGCTGATAAGGAAACTGAGACAAACAGAGGTTAAGTGACTTGCCCAGGGTCACACAGTAAATGTCTGAGACTGGATTGAACTCAGGCCTTTCTAACTCCAGATCCAGCAAATTATTCACTGTGCCACCTAGGGCCTTACTCAAAAATCACATGGAGTTTATGGCAAAAACAGGATTGTAGACAGAGCTGGGAAGTGGGAAGAGGACTGTTTCCTGATACTTTTTCTGCTACTTCTAGCTATGGGGACCCCATTTTTTTCAGATGAGACAATGTTTATAAAATAATTTTCAAAGCTTAAACTATTACATAGATATTTATACATAGTTATAGTTGTTTATTTATTTTTACCTCTTCTCCCCATTCCCTGCTTAAGGTGATGACAAGTGGTGATAGACAGGCTGCACTGCACTGGAGTTGCGGAGGGCACTTGTACCCTGCCTGTCAAAGAGTTGCCAAAGCAATTTTCCTTTTTTTTTTTTTTTGGCTAGGCAATGGGGTTAAGTGACTTGCCCAGGGTCACACAGCTAGTAAGTGTTATGTGTCTGAGGCAGGATTTGAACTCAGGTCTTCCTGAATCCAGGGCCGGTGCTCTATCCACTGCGCCACCCTTCTGCCCACAAAGCGATTTTCCTAAAGCACAAATTGGGTCCCTATCACCTCTATGCTCAAATACAGAATGCTCTGTTTAGCATTCAAAGCCCTTCATAACCTAGTTCCCTCCTACCTTTCCAACCTTCTTACACCTTAGTCCCTCTCAGTACTAATCAATCTAGTGACACTGGCCTCCTGGCTGTTCCATGAACAAGCCAATCCATCTTGGCTCCTGGCATTTCCACTGTCTGGAATGCCTCTCCCTACTCACCTCTGCCATTGGCTTCCCTGGCTTCCTTCAGGTCCCAACTAAAATCTCATCTTCTACAGAAAGCCTTTCCCAACCCCTCTTAATTTTAGTGCCGTCTCTCTGTTACTTACTTCCTATTTACCCTGTATATAACTAATTCATAGAGGCCATCTCCAGTTGTCCTGACCTATATATCTGGCCACTGGACCCAGATGGCTCCTGAGGAGAAAGTGAGGCTGATGACTTTGCACAGCCCTGCCTCACTTAAATTCAATTCACTTGCAAGTCATGGCATTACCTTCCTGAGGTCATGGTCCTCTTTGAGAAGGAAGGACAAACAACAGCTTATTCATACATATGTGTTTGCTTGTCACTTCTCCATTAGACTGTGAACTCCTTGAGTTCAGGGACTGGCTATCGCCTTTCTTTGTATCCCAATACTTCGTAGAATGCCTGGCACTTCATAGGAATTTAACAAATGTTAATGGATTGGTAGGTTGATTGACAGCAGCCCCATCCAAAGGGAGTCCATTCAATCACGGGAAAAGTGTTTTATAAGGCTTTGCTATTTTTGAAGCTCTGTGCAGAATATGGGTGGAGTCATATTTTTGGAATCTCAGAGCTAGTAGTGACTTCACGCCATCTCAAGTTCAATCTCCCACCTGAGGGAGAAGTTCCCTTAACAGTACCACTTCACTTCAGGAACCACTTAGATTACTCTGGTCTTGGACCTTGCTGATTACTATGAATTTTTTTCCTAAAGTGATATCAACCTCAAATTTTTCATAGTATTTGCCTGGCTCCTCATCTGTGCTTAGGAAATTCTTCCATGTATCATTATTATAGTTATGTACCTATTATCTCCTCCAATCCCCACCTCTATCAGATAGTAAGCTCCTGAGAGCAGGAACTGTGTTTTTATTCCCAGCGACAAACACAGGGATTAGAACTCAAGGCTTATATTTCCCCAAGTCACCTCTTCAGCTGAACATCCCAAGATTCATCAACCAATCTTCTGACCCCATTTTCATCCTGGTTGCCAACCTGAGTGATATTCAGAATTGACTTTCCAAGTAGTTTAATCAGAGTCTGAGCTATAACTAGAGTGAGGTAGACAGGGGCTTTCCCCTCATAATGATACATAAGGTGGAGGGGGGCATTTATACTTCCCCCAGCAGTCTTCTCATCTACTCTTTTTTAAAAAAAATTTTAAAAAATTTTTATTTTTAGGCAATTGGGGCTAAGTGACTTGCCCAGGGTCACACAACTAGTAAGTGTCAAGTGTTTGGTCTGAGGTTGGACTTGAACTCAGGTCCTCCTGACTTCAGGGCTGGTGCTCTATCCACTGTGCCACCTAGCTACCCCTCTCATCTATTCTTGATGAGGACCGAGGCATATGGGGCAAGTACAACTCCCTCACTTGGTCTTAGTCTTCTCCTCTTGTCTCTCCTAGCAACAGTACCTGCCTTCTTAATGGTGGCAGGGAAGGGAAGGGAACAGGCATTTATTAAGCACCTATTATGTGCCAGTAACTGTGGTAAGTGCTTTACAAATATTATCTCATTTGATCCTTATAACAACCCTGGGAGGTTGGTGTTGTTCAGATGTGCCCAGCTCTTCAGTGACCTAATTTGGAGCTTTCTTGGCAAAGATACTGGAGTGGTTTGCCATTTTCTTCTGCAGCTTATTTTACAGATGAATAACTGAGGCAAACAGGGTTAAGTGACTTGCCCAGGGTCACACAGCTAGTAAGTGTCTGAGGTCACATTTGAACTCAGGTCTTCCTGACTCCAAGCCCAGTGATCTACCCACTGTACCACTTAACTGCCCTTTGTCTATCACATTTCCCACCCTACCCCCACAACCTCTACCTTTCTTGGAAGGCTAGAGCAGGGACCATCAGCTAGATAAAAGAGTCCTTGGCCCACACTCTTTTAAGGGTGAGCTACATCCTTTCCTGGAGCAATTCTGTTTAAGTTGGGCTGTCCACCAGGTTGGATAATCATATCTCCTCCCCATCTTCTAATCAACCGAATTCACCCTGGATTCAAGAAATCCTAGCTACGGCTCTGATCATCTCATCGAAATCTGCCATCTCCTCTCATTCAGACTACAATGCTTCTATTTATTCAGCCTAATATCAGAGAATCTGGGTAGGATGTGCCAGTTCACCCTGAGGCAAGCATTAACATTGACCTTCAGGAAAAGAGCTAAATGGTCACCCCAGGGTATGTTAACATTTCCTCCCCCATACACATATCAGGGTTTCTATACATGCCTGTGGAGGTCACATTAATATTTTTTTTAGCTGCCACATCACATTGTTGATTCACACTGAGCTAGAGATCCACATCATGACTTAGCAGCAATCTAGCCACATCTTCCCCCATCCTGTCTTTGGGCAATGGATCCTTCTGAATTGAAGTACAGGACTTTACATTGATCTATATTCATTTTAATCTTGTTAGATTTTGGTCTGCTGTTTCAGCATGTCAAGAGACTTACTAAAGC